CAAATTTAATCTAAACAACGTTCATATTAAAAATAAATACATAACAATAAATTTGTTACAAAAGATATCGTTTTTATTCATTAACTTTTGTTTGCTTCTTTTCTTTGGCTGTCCATGTTCAATTTATTTTCTGTTTAATTCGTTATAGAGTTGGCTGAGTATTGTGGAAACTTGATGCTTACATTTTGAAAAGTAGTAAACTTGAACACCAGATCGTATCAGATTGGAGAAGGGGGTGACAATGACAAAGCTACTTCACATCTTTTTCTTACTAAGCTAGTAAGTCTTTATTTCCGTGTAAGCCTTTGGACCATTTACTAGAATCAATGGCTCACAACCGTTCTTTCCAGACTCTTGACATCTCAGACCATTCTTACTTTAGTGCAGCAAAATTCACGGTCAAATTAAAATATAAAAGAGAAGATATCTCATTTCTAGAAGTTTGAAAGAGTTATAAGCTATGAGTAATCCAAAAAGTGCATAAAATTAAAATTGTAGCAGCTGTGTGTGTGTGGGTGTGTATAAACTTTACAGTTTGACACACGCGTTTATTTCTCTTTATATCATTTTGAAAGATCATATTTAACTTGTAACTTTTATAACAATACTTTCTTTATGAATAAATGAACTTCAGGGAATCTTTCAGAGTTGTTTTATTGTGGCTCCATGCTGTTACCTAGAATTACATTTGGTGGAGTCAAAATAGGGATTTGTAATTTGATGTAAATTTTGTCTGCAGTAGGTCCACCCTTGTTCGCTTTCTTTTTTACGATCCCTATTTGCAGGTTTCTAATTCCCAATTTTTTATTTATATTGTTCGCTGGCTTTTTTATGCTCAACTATTGGCAAAGGATTACTTGGTATGGTAGCTAACTTTATATTACATTGTAATGATAATAAACATAGCTAGTAGCTAGCTGATACGGATCATGCTGATTTACTGTAGTTACTGTCTAGTTGACCGCATTAGTTCGAGATATAAAATGTTAAATTGCTGCTGGAGATTGTCATGGAGATTTGTTTGAGAATATGGTGAGCATTTATAGTTTCTGTGTAAATAAGTTCTCTATAGATAATGCATAGCAATGGGCAAATATATGTCTAGACTAAGACACAACATTCACTAAAGCACGTATACAATTTTACCAGTAGAAAATCAACCTTTTCAAATAAAACATATACATTTAAAAGATCGCTTTCGATAAACATGCCTTTTAAAGTAATTATTCTACGAAAATGTGTAATAAAATTTAATATAATGTGTATTGATTTTTTTATTCTTTCATTTCATACATAATATAGGGATTGGCTCCCTAAAGACACCGATTGCATAGTGTACAAAGCATTGGGTATCTACATGTTAGTCATCTAATGTTAATTTTTGGCTGTTAATTCCTGTTTCACCCTGTATTTAACCTTTCTAAAGGAACACTTCAGATGTTTGTAAGAAAGCGAAGTTCAAGGGGTAATGATAACATCGTAATCACTATAATTATGATGTTTTTAGCTTATGTAAAATATAGAAGAAACAAATAGACTTTTCAATACCCCTACGATATTCGCAGTAGCTTATTTAGTATTCTACAAAAGGTTTGGGTGCAATATACCAAACTGTTTTTGTTGTAGGCAGGCAAATAATAACAACATCAACAACAACAATTAAAACGGCCGTATTGAGCGGATTTCCTTTTCCTTGTAAGTCTAACGTGCGTGCATTTTTACATATGTACAACTTTAGCCTCAATAGTAAAGATTTTCAAGCCTTGGAACTGAATCTTTACTGTTTAAGGTGCTTTTTACCCGAACGTTCTATTAGGATTTTAATAATAGTGCATTATATTCCAGTCAGCATTACTTAATTTAAAAAAATCAAACATAATTTATATTTTATGGGAAAATAGGTTCATATTTTAAGTAATATTTAGTTTAAAATGCGGCGTTTAATATACCTCACATGTTTAATATATCTTAAATCATAATTAGAATGTTATTTATAAGTTTAAAAAGCTGTGTGTGTGTGCGTTTCTGATAAAAGTGTAAGATCGAAAGGTTGAGAAATAAAAGTTTCTTTCATCTGAAGTTAAAGGTTTTCCAATAATTCAAACATCATTACTTCTTCATTTAATTCAAGTAATTGCACAAATTTACTTTATATGTTTTGATAATAAAAAATAGTAGTGTTTTATTTGTGTGCTATGGTGTCTTGATTATTGGGTCTTATTTTTTCTTAAGTAAGATGATGCTATAACCACACATCAACTGCTGTGTAATCTTCATCCCAAGAAGTATCTTTACGAACATCTTTGATTTTGACTTCAAACTCCACAGAATTTCTACCGCTATGCTCTTAAGATCGTTTCAAAAAATACTTTGTTCAATGTACACAAAATGTATTTTTATTTCAACTTAACACCAAGATTTGCTTCCTAGACAGCCACAGGGCTTTTTGTGCTTAGTTTGTAGGCTGCCTCATACTCTGTACGTAACTATTTTTGGAAAAGATGCTAAGAGCCTTGTTTCGTTTTACTGCCAAGCTAGTGTTCTTTTGAAAAATTACACGAAGTATGGTTGGCTATATCGTTGTTGTTGTTTTATTTCTTAAAAAGAGTTTTCAACAAAATATGCTTATCACTATTAGAAAATATGAAATGCATTAATAAATTAATGAATATTTCTCTCAAGTTTATTAGATAAAGGTTGTGTAAGATACAATTAGACGATGAAACATCTCTCAAAATATTCGGGTAGGTGTCTGGTTACTTTCTATCTCTGCTCCGTGTTAACACAGCATCTCAGTTTACAATAGCCCTCTAGTGTAAGAAAAACCGAAGCATAAAAAAACTGAGATTATAACAAACGTTCTATATTTATTTTCATGGAGAAAGAAAGTATGTCATCAGTTCTTTTTCGATGTAACATACTCATAATTTATGTGTAAACCTTTTGTTTAAAGGTGTAATATATAAAACCACTTAACAAAATGTCTTTAAAATATTGAAATACATACATTTGACCTTTTGAAATGCCCCCTAGTGACACAGCGGCATGTCTGCGGACTTACAACGCTAGAAACCGGGTTTAGATACCCGCGGTGGGCAGAGCACAGATAGCCCTTGTGTAGCTTTGTGCATAATTAAAAACAAACAAACAAACCTTTTGAAATAATTCTGCTATCAGAAAGTGACTAGAGACCAAAGAGTATTATTACTTCAGTGTGATAACGGAGCCCATTGGTGTTAGGCAAGACATATTGAGCGTGCTTTTTATGATGCTCACCTACTAAATGATCGCGCACACATTTACGCTAGAGCTTATTACCAATACTTCTTGTCAAATGAATGTGTCGACATTAATACTTGAAGTTGTATCATAATAGCAACTTGTAATGACTTTCTCTAACTTTTGTTTATTAGTAAATCTATGTTCATATATTTCTATTTGTAATGCTTATAATACACATTTGGTCTATTTCTTTGTGTATATGTGTGTGCACGATATAAATTATAAGAATAAACCGATAATCATCCAAATTAAACTTTAGTGTTCACTGCAAAATATATTCTGGTCAAGTTTTATACGACAATGTAGCTTTGATTAAATAACTTACCGGATTACGGTAATGTAGTCCTGGTTCTTTTTCAGCTTTTTGAATTACTTTGTTTATGAGCGACATGACTTCTTAAGTTGGCTGAATACTTCTCGCACCAGACTCCTCTTTTGGCCAGTGTTCAGCTTTCTCTCAAGGAGCAACACATTTTCTCTCTCAAAGGCCACGATACATGGCGTCCTCTTCAGGATAAATAGTATATATATAAGAAAATATAAAATTTCTGTAATATGCTGCAACTCCTTTAATTAAAGAACAAAGGAGCGAACTCCTTTTCAACAATGAACGCACACAAAGTATGTAGATTCAAACATCGTAATTTTAGACTAACTTTTAAGTCAGCTAATATAATGTACAATCGGCTATAAGTTAGGGTTAAATCAGTGGTGGGATTCAAATACTTTAACAACAGGTTCTCTCACTAGCAGCATGTAAAAATATTAGATATTAAAAAAAGGAGGGGCCAGAAAGCCCCCCCCCCCATCACTGAGAAAATAAAAATAGGCCGTCACGGATAGTGTTAAAGATTCTTTAGAAACTTTCAATTAAAAAAATGTTTTATAATCTTTCAACTTAACAAAATTCAAAACTTTATTAATTTCTTCCATACGTAATACGTTAAAAAAATCTATTTCAAAAAAGTAAAGTAGAAAAAAATAAAATAAATAAATAAAATGGATAGTAACAGGTGAAA